TGCTTCGTTAATCGATCGTCTTGATAACCGTTATTATAACAATCTGAACGGTGTATAATATCAGAAGACAAAGGGAAGCAGCAACTACATTTTTATTGATAAATAACATGGGCTAGAAGGCAGTGAGCACATTAGCAAATGTAAGCAAGCGAAGGAAAGATGACGCAGAGTGGAGATGGCTGGGAAGCCAACTCGTTATAAGCAAGCATTAATCAACATTTATAGTCAGGCTAAAATGAATGACAGACATGTGATAGGTAGGATAAGAAGGGTGCATACACATGCGCTCATATAAAAAAAATAGTCAAGGTCAATAAGCGAATAATTAACAAGATCAAAATATGACTCATAACGTTATAGGTGAATTGGCTTGTCCAGAAACTAGAATAAGCTATGTAGGCGTAATATAGTACACGACGTTACACTACTCCCCACATAGCTCCCCCCCCCAGAGTGTCCGGAGGAAACACTGTTATGCAAAATAAACAAGGGGGAGGAGGTGTATATGCGTTCACAAACCAAAATTAAAGTATTAGCACATTAATTTGAAAATAACACTGAAATGGCATGTGGATAACGTTAATAATATGTAGAGAAAAAAAATTGTACTATATCGAATATGTTACAGTGTCGATCGAGGGGCGAGTTTATTAAACGAAAGTGTCACACTTATGTGAAAATGTACATGAAAATTGTCAAAATGAGGACAGAAATGGAAATGTTGGCATGTGATTATGAGTAAATTAGTAAGCGTACAAAAAATTTAACATGCATTTATGTTGAGACTGTCCGGATGATAAAATAACATGTTTGTATGAGCAATTCGAAATATCGTGAAAATAGAGCAATAAATTGTTTATGGGTATGACAGCGGAATAAATCGTGGAAATAAGTAATGTAGAATATGATTAAAATTGGTCTGTAGTGCCAATTGAATATGAGAATGAAGAACAGTGAAATATGATTTTCTGATAAGTCGCATTAGAGTAAATAGAGTCTCTTAGCGATGGGTGTATTCGAATTTACATAACTGAAGTTTATGTGGGATAAGAAGTAATCCAGCCGTAGGAAGATGACTGCATCAACAGGTTGTATTCATTGCTGTACTGCAATTGATCATGATAATAAAATGCGAAATCAGCGTGCGCTAACGCTTGCGTTGAGTTATCGTTAAATATGTATTAGTAGAATGACCAGAGGAACAGGATAGTGGCTGCTTAGACGAGATATGCGGAGTCGTATTCCTTTTTGGTCTAGAAGCCTAGCGTAGTTTGTGTAGTTAGAGGGATATGCGCTCAACCTCATTTGTTACGAAACCGTTTTAAGGCATGATAAAAATACCAATACATATGATTGTCGATGACAGCGAGTGAGACTGACTTGAATGTGACGAACAAGAGTGTATCTTTGAGAGACTAGCTCTAAACTCTATGTTCTGGTGTACAGTGCAATGGAAATAAAATATTAATTGCAGTAATCGAATTGTGATTATGGGTAACGGATGATGCAGCATTCAGTTATACATGTGAATGAATAGATAATATGAAAATAATCATTACTAATCGGCTGGTAATGCGGCGTCGAATACTCGATTTGTGTATAAACATTAAAGTAGGGATCATCGTGAAACAAAAATTGCGGAAGTTCGGTTTAGATTGTCGCTGAAAATGTAGGAGACGACGGTTGCTGCGTACCAATGAAATGAATGAACATTAGTTGTCTATCGAGAACATAAGTTCCTACTATCGGGAGTATGACTCCAAACTTATGTCTATGATAGTGTTATCTTAGACCGAAAATGACATGAAAAAAAAATTGGAACGAACTCACTTGAATCAGGAAAATTGTACGTCATTGGATAATAAAAATAATCCAGTGAGTTTCGAATATCATAACGTGTAATGTCCATATCATTATAATTTGTTCGATTAGTGATATGACGGCGTAAATGTCATAGTTTAATGTCAATACGAACAAAAATAATAATTCCACGTTAAATGATGATATGACATTATTGTAATAATGAGCTTGTGATGATTATTTGAATCATAACGGAATATGTCGTCGACGGTTCCATTTTTGGTTTGTGTTCGCTCGTTGCGGTCGCCAATTCTGTTGCGTGTTCGTACGTCGGGATTACCAATATGTGGTGTAGTGCTTCGTTAATCGATCGTCTTGATAACCGTTATTATAACAATCTGAACGGTGTATAATATCAGAAGACAAAGGGAAGCAGCAACTACATTTTTATTGATAAATAACATGGGCTAGAAGGCAGTGAGCACATTAGCAAATGTAAGCAAGCGAAGGAAAGATGACGCAGAGTGGAGATGGCTGGGAAGCCAACTCGTTATAAGCAAGCATTAATCAACATTTATAGTCAGGCTAAAATGAATGACAGACATGTGATAGGTAGGATAAGAAGGGTGCATACACATGCGCTCATATAAAAAAAATAGTCAAGGTCAATAAGCGAATAATTAACAAGATCAAAATATGACTCATAACGTTATAGGTGAATTGGCTTGTCCAGAAACTAGAATAAGCTATGTAGGCGTAATATAGTACACGACGTTACACTACTCCCCACAGATTTAACCTAGTGACTGGTACATGGTTTCCTTTAGTGGTGATCATGGTCAACCACGATTCGACGCCTACTACATATGCTTAACGTACCTTAATCAGAATATTGTAAATCGATGTCCAATAATTGATTATATAACCGCTAGTTCGAGGGTTAAAGCAAATGCATTGCCCATAATGGGACTTCTAATTATCTCTCTAGATAAAACTATGTATTATGTACGTGAAGCAGCATGTGGAGTTGTGTGTGGCAATCTAGAACGGAGAAGGATTGAGTGAACAAATTGGTTGTAGTTACATTTAATGGTTAAATAAGGTATTAACAACGCTGAGATGAGATCATGACAATATAATGATTGAGATTAAAAGTTAATGGACTAATATTCCAGGTGCGCTATAATCATATTAATTAACATAACCATTAGCGTCTATAATATCCACAATAACGTGTATAGAAATTTGGTCTCACTAAAACCACTAAACAAATTTAATACGCTAAATTAGTGAAAGTGATAATAATATATTCTGAAAATAATATTTACAGAATTCACACCAGTTTACAGGCATGATCAGATTGATATAAAAAGCAACATTTAATGTACAGAACAAACATGAAATATAAGAAAGTTTTATGTTTTCTGGTTTAGTAATTGATAAGTAGTTTATATATGGCATATATCACGGCAAGCCAATGCAACACCAGGGAACTTTTAATTTTTTCTTAATTGGATAGCTTGATGATTTATGAACGTATTTCTTCAAGGTTATTTCCAGTGCCAGAGCGAGTTGTTGATAAATATCTACAACTAGAGAAAGAAAGATTGAAGCAAAGAGCACGGAACAACAAAACAATGTTTGCCAAAATATGCCGATCAGGTTACCATTGTTCATGTTAGATACTATTCGAACGAGTTAGAGTTGCTAGTGACAGTGTCAATGTAAAGTGACAGCAAGTAATTGGTTAAACATTTAAAGTTCCGATCATCTCACTTGTGGAGTAAGATACACTTACAGGAGCTAGAGCATTTAATGCATTTTTAGAAGAGCAATATGCATTAATGGAGTGAACAAATAATGGGAGAGAGTTTAACGTATAGATAGTTTGTGGTAGATTATTCCAGAGCCTAGAAAACTTACAGGTAAAGTAATTCATATAGAGAGAAGATCTAGAATATGTTTGTTTCGCTAAAGACAAGGAGTTACGAATGTCGTACTGTGAAGTTTCAGCATATTGAATCGCCTGGTTGGATGTGAAGGATAGTTTGTTAAGTATTTTTAAAAAGAAGATAAGGTTAAGTTTGAATCTCCTCTTCCATAAGGGGTCAATCCCGAGTTTACTGCACCGAGAATTATGTGTCAAGGCACTATCAGTTCCAAGAGTACGAAGTGTAAATCGTCTCTGTACTGATTCCAGTCTTAATTTATCCTTAATGCGCGTGCTACTAAGGAGAAACGAGCAGTATTCGAGGAGTGGCCGAACACAGACTTTGTACATTAGAACACGAGATTCGCTGTTATGAAGGTTCCGAGTTATGTAACTTATAAGGCGTTGAGACTTGGAAGTTTGTTTCATCATCTGTTTGATAAACGACAAGTCGTGGGAGTAGCTAAGTCCTAGGTCTACTAATGTGTGTAACCTAGGTAACACTTCCCATTTATTGTAAGATCGAGGTTGGGTGATGTATCACCGAAGCATAACCATCCACATTTAGCTGTATTAAGCTCCAGTTGCAGTTTCGAGCACCAATGGGCTACCTTGTTAAGCTCCGTGCTGATGCAATTTTGAATATTGCTCAGCTCATGTAGAGAAAATGAATACACCACCTTAAGATCGGGACTTACCCACACTAAAACACTAACAAATATCATTAATAAAAACTAAAAAGAACAAAGGACCTAAGACACTACCCTGAATTACCCCACTTCTAACAGGGACGGCATTCGACAATGAAGAGTTGATTTTAACTATTCGATGTCGATTGCTGAGGAAGGAATCAAATCAGGCTAGTAACGGGTTTTGGACCCCATAGGATGCGAGTTAACCAATGAGAAGTTGGTGGTTGACCATGTCGAAGGCCTTAGAAATGTCCAGGTATAACACTAATTGTCTCAAGTGGAGTTCAAACCACGTCTGTTCTGAGATAGGAACTCACTGAAGACAATTGGTGAACGGTTACTCAACTTCGTGGATTGGTTGGAGTTAGACATAAACAACACCGAATGACGACTCAGTGGTCTATAGGTTAAGTGCTCTAACGCGAGACAGGTAGGTCCTGAGTTCGAATCTCTCGAGGCGAGGTCGTGGATGCGCACTGCTGATGGGTCTCACAATAGGACGAAACGGCCTTCCAGTGCTTCCAGTTTTTCCCTGGTGTTCTAAGTTCAATTCACTCACGCTTTCAACTATGAAAACAATTTGATGCATTTGTTCAGCACTCCTTTTATGAATTATTTTGCACCATAGCTTGACAAACAAAAAATATTTTATAAAAATCAGTGTTCTTTGTCAACACTGAATCCTCAAACTGCTTGGAAGTACTTCATTTACCATAAGTGTTTGAAATAGGACACCAGTAACTAAGCGCTAATTTCAGTCTAAGACCTTGATCATCTGGAATTTTCGTTGGATAGCATAGGGTCGCGAGTTTTGCGATGGAACAAACCTGTTATTATAAAATTTTAGGTATTGAGAAAACTGCTTCAGGCGATGAAATAAAAAAAGCCTATCGCCGACTGGCACTCAAATGGCATCCGGACAAGAACCCAGACAAAAAGGAAGAAGCAGAAAAATGCTTCAAACTCATAAGTGAGGCATATGAAGTTCTGTCGGATCCCAAAAAGCGTGACATATATGACAGACGCGGCAGAGGTCCTCATGCTGGTGAGGCATTCGTATTTGAGGATTCTGATCCTTTCTCAATGTTTACGCGATTCCACTTCCGAGATCCTATGGATATATTCCGAGAAGTTTTTGCCGGCTCTGGACTCGATTCTTTCTTTGGTCCCAGTATTCATGACTTCCAATTTGGTCCTCAGTTGGGCCGAACTCACAGGTCCAACTCCCATCGCAACGCTGGACGACAATCTGGATCTCCTTATCATCATGCCGGACGTTCTAGTCAAGTACAGAGTTATGATCCCATGCTCGCAAACCCTTTCATGGGTGGACTTTTTGACTCTCCGTTTGGTGGGTCACTGTTTAATCCTTTGATGGCTTTCACCAATTCTGGGTTCGGAAATCTCCAGGGTTCTTCATCAACCTCCGTCTTCAGTAACTTTGGTGGATCTTCCTGTGCAGGTGGTTTCAGGTCAGTTTCAACATCCTCCAAGTACGTAAATGGAAAAATGGTTCGTGTGACAAAAGTGGTAGAGAATGGTACTGAAACCATTACCGAAGAAGTAGATGGTCAGGTAACTAACCGGACTGTCCGTCAATGTGGAAATGGAGCCCTGCAAGCAATGTGATTTATCTTCACACAAAAACATACTTTGTTCGCATAGTTTAACTATATTGATTTTGTATAATCAGTTTCACAGTTATTTGTTGAGGTTGTTAAAGTAATATTTATGTTGTCTAATGAAATATGTCTTAATGCGTCCAATTTATTGTTGCGTCTATTAGATACGTTGTTTTGAAACTGCACTTAAGACATACCACTTTTAAATCCTCTTATAATACTTATATAAAATAAATCTTTCCCACTGATTTTTTTGGCGTACATTCTCACTTTTCATTTCAAGGTATGATGTTTGCGTGATATCGCTTAGTTATGTCGTCAAGTCCCGCTTAGCTAATATCACGTAAGTTCATTGATTAACTTATCTATCAATATTTGACCGTAGCCCATGATTCATCTCATGGTCGTCTATCAGACATTAGGTCATGTTATGGGAAATATACTGATTCAAAGCTGTCAGACTTCTCGATATTTGCGAATATCTAATTTTCCGGTTATATCTAATCAGTACCATAAGGGTGTGAGCTACGTTTTTGATCAAGTCACTTTCCAGTCTCGTTGAAAACTCAGTTCTTTATGTCCAAAAAGTAATTTTCTAGTCTCCAAAACAAATTCACTACCGCACTGACAGTAAAATATATGACTTATCTGCTGGTCCATTGAATGACAACCTAGGTTCGTCCAACAGAAAAAGTGCTTGCAACTGAAGTTTAAGTGATAAATAACTAATCATGTAATGGCTAGTATTCCTTTTATCTTTGTTAGTTAAGCTTGATATTGCCGAACCCAAAATTTCAACCGTGTAATTAGTTCCTAGTGGATTATAATTTTTCTTAAGCTCAGCTTGATCCCACCAATGGAGTTGAAGTACTTTTATGCAACTAGCAAGTCGCTATCTGGCGCACTTGGATCTGAGCAACTTGTGTATGAGTTAGTAGTGCGATATTATGCAAATCGTCGTTTCCCTTTACGTTAATTGTGATAGCAATAGTGAATATCTTTGTACACTGCTGTATGTCAGTTGTATATTAGCAAATATTATGGCTTATGTGCGAACCAGATCTTCGGTAAACTGGAACTCTATTACCATTTATTTACTATTGTAGTTCTCATGTTGTTAGTCCTCAAATCCTTTATATCTAGTTTAAAGCCTAGGTTGACTGTTTTTCTTATGGAAAAACATTGACTTAGTGAAAGTGAAAATTCTCGTTTCAAGAAGTCTAGCACTGGTAAAGTGTTCCCCATGGATATTTACCGTCTTTAACAATTCTGCCTTTTCATTAGCAAAAGTCGAAAAGACTCTATCATAACATCAGGGCTCCTCACCTTTCCGGTTATCGGTCTTATTCCTGACCGTTGCTGCTACCTTGACGTGGTGGTCGGCTTGCCTATCGTGATGATTCAATCGAGCTATACTGGCTGGAACAATCGTTCCTCAAGGTCCTATCATGCCAGGCAGGTCGTTTGAAGAGCGGTAAGACTAAAAGCAGCAAATCCAAGGTCCGAAGGCGAAGTCGTACTGCTGACTGTCCAGAGGTGTGACAGCAGTAAAGTGTTTCCTTCAGACAACCAGCATAACAGCGATGCTGCCTTCCCACAAGGAGGGATAGGGTTAGAAAAGGTCGACCCTAAAAATGCACACCGCCTTATCCCATGGATTTCTGTCTCCAGCGGTAAGGTCCTTTGAAGAACGGAGCTAACACGAAAATTACTAACAAAAAGGTCGTACGTGGTCGGTCTCAAGCAGTTGTCCGTTGGGCACTGTGGTCACGCCCTCAGGTCATTAAGACCACCCCTAACCCAATTTCTTTTTCAGGTACCTCTAGAAAAACCCTTTCACGGTGTGGGCAACCGAGAAGTGACCACTGCGCTCATACCTATAACAGCACTCAAGAACACTGTATTCATAATCAATCTCCCTCCTCAATTCCTATTATTCCTCCTACCTCGAGTTTCAACTCTAAACTTCCTATTTTGACTCCCTCTTCAATTGTCACCATGGCCAACAACTCTAGTGCGCAAAACACTGTCCCAGGTCTACTGAAACCTCTCTCCAAACTACACATTGTAGCCTTCAACGTACATACCCAATGTCAAATCGGCCAACAGGCCTCCTTGGCTAAGACCCTAGAATCTCATACGATTGATGTATGCTGTGTCTCCGAAACACGCATACAGGACCCTAGTGTGGTCATTCACTTGACCTCACCTCGCCAAAATGGACAGCCAACGAAATACACTATTCGTGTATCTGGCGACCCTCTGACTAGTTCTCATGGACTTGCAGGTGTAGGCATAGCACTTAGTACCTGGGTAGAACAAGTACTATTAGAATGGATCCCCGTTAACAGTCGCCTGTATGCTGTCCGGCTAAATGGCTCCGTATGAACTCGGAAGGATAGGGACACACGTCTTTACCATTTCGTCGTTTCTGCCTACGCTGTCACTGACTGCAGCCATGATGAAGTGAAAGATCAATTTTACAGAAAGCTTTCCAAACTCCTTCAAAAAGCTAAACGCTCAGACATAGTGCTCGTAGCAGGTGACTTTACACTAAGAAGACCCATTAGGATTGAACTGGAGGACGAGAAAGCCAAATGCGATTTCACTGATGGATTCGCGTACTCATCCCATCAGGCTCTGAACACGACGAAGAGCGTAGACAAATTAGATCTAGTTTAACTAAAAGTCTAAGGAACGATCGTGAGCAGTGGTGGGCAACGAAAGCAAAAGAGATGGAAAAGGCAGCGGCTGTAGGCAACACCAGGTAACTATTAAGACTAATAAAAGAAACCGGAATTAAGAAGTCAAATGTAAGTGAGACAATCTCGGATAAAGACGGAACCCTTATCTGCACTCAACCCAAACGTTTAGAACGATGGGCATAACACTTTAAGGAGCAGTTTAGCTGGCCTTCAGCTACTGCACAACTACCCACTATTCCCAGAAAACTTGAATAGAACATTGAAGTAGGTCCCCCGACTCCAATTGAAGTTCAAAAAGTCATAACTAATCTAAAACGATGAAGAGCAGCCGGTCCAGATGGATTGGCTCCAGAGGTCTTTAACGATGATGGTCCAATTTTAGCGATTAGGTTGTCTAATATTTTGGCTAAAATCTGGGAACTGGATGTAATCTCATCTGACTGGTCTCAATCACTGGTTGTCCCAATATATAAGAAGGGATCGAAATCATCCTGTGATAACCATAGAGGGATTAGTCTGACTAACATAGCATCTAAAATACTAGCCTCAATAATTATCGGACACCTAACAAAGACTCGTCAACTGTAAGTAAAAGAAAATCAGATTGGCTTCAGACCTGGTCGTGGCTGTGTCGACCACATATTCACCATTCGTCGTTTTAGTGCACAGACATGCTTATCGGCGTCCGACAATGATAGTTTTCTTGACTTAAAAGCAGCATTTGACTCTGTAGACCGAGAGGTTCTGTGGCAGTGTCTGTCATTGAAAGGTGTACCTGAGAAGTACATAAACCTTGTGAAGGCTCTTTACTCGAACACTATTAGTCGAGTGAGAGCTTATGGCGAACTGTCATATGATTTTACAACCTCAAGTAGTGCCCGTCAAGGCTGTCCACTATCCCCATTTTTGTTTAACTTCATTACAGACCTGTTGCTGGAAATAACACTCTCGTCGAATAATTCTCAGGAATTGATCTTCTACCAGGAGGTTCACTTATCGAATTAGAATACGCAGATGACGTAGTCCTGTTTTGTGAAGACGCTGACAAAATTCAGTGTCTTCTGTTAGAACTAAGTAATAATGCCAGGATGTTTGGGATGCGTTTCTCCCCATCCAAATGTAAATTGTTACTCCAGGACTGGCCTGCGTCAACACCTGATCTAAGGATAGGGAGTGAAGTGGTCGAACGCGTCGACTAATTCACTTATCTTGGAAGTATGATCAGCCCTAATGGGCTGGTGTCTGACGATATCTCAGCACGGATTCAGAAAGCTCGTTTGGCTTTTGCCAACTTACGTCACCTATGGTGAAGACGAGATATCCGTCTATCAATTAAGGGACGAGTATACTGCGCAGCAGTTCGCTCTGTTCTACTTTTCGGCTGCGAAACATGGCCATTAAGAGTAGAAGATACTCGTAGGTTACTAGTATTTGACCACAGATGCCTTAGAAATATTGCTTGCATCTGCTGGGATAACCGGGTAAGTAATAGTGAGGTTAGACGCAGGGTATTAGGGAATGATGGTAAATCAGGTGATGAGGTCGTGAATCTTCATCGACTGAGATCGTTGAGCCACTTGTTACGTATGCCTGAACACCGATTACCACGACCTGCAATGTTGACCAGTGTAGGGGATGGTTGGAAGAGAGTTAGGGGCGGCCAAACCAAAACGTGGCATCAGTGCTCGAAGTCACTAACTTCTAGTCTGAGACATGTTGGTAGATGCAGACTACCTGGTTGGCGTCCGCGTGACTATCGTAACCAATGGTTGGAGACTCTGTGTGACATGGTTCAGAATCGATCACAAATGCGTGGGTGTATACACTCTATATCTTCCCTTAAACCTTGAGATTAAAATTGCTTCATAACTTTTTCCCTTTCTATACTATATCCTTATATACAACCTTTCTTTATATGCTACCACCACTAAATTAATTACGTCTATGAATCCGATGTTCATCTTGTTGTGCTAACGAGGTATGGCAACTTGGACCGATGCATATATGTGCCTGGTCCTACGTTGTCGCTGACTGACAATCGGTCTCATTGGTAAGGCTTAAGAAGCATAAATTCGATAAAATAAATATATACATTAACACAGTGACCCTATGTGATAACTCAAGCTGTTGTTTATTGTGATTTTTAGCTTCCTCAACTTGTTGCAACTATCGAGAGTTAACCAATTACTTTTTGAGGTTTCCGTAAAAATATCCCTCCACTATGTTACTACCTAGAAAATGTGTTGTTTGTTAACGCCCAGCGACGCTCAAGCATATATCTAACATTAACTTGTATCCAAACTTTTTATGTAACTAGGCATTCACTAGCTTCGTACGAAAATACAATCAAGGTTAATGACTAAAGCTCATGAAATAGTCTTCATAGCCACTAGAAGTGCCGTATATATTTACTTAAAAGTTTTGACATTTATACCTTGAAAACCATTTGTCGCTGGAAAGTATCAACTGTAGAAATAGGGCGATAAGTTGATTTATCAACCATCTAAGAAAACTAACTGGAAATCCCCATCCGTTCTTGCTC